GCATGTGTGACGCCCTGGTTTCCAACCCTCTTACTGCAAACAAAAACCAAGAAAATAACCAAGGTCAGAGTTGCCGACCAAAGAGCTGCTGATTTAATTGCTCTGGGGTGGGGCTGAGTCTTGATGTTTTTAAAAAGGTTCTCCAGGTCCAATAACCTTTGAGTTAGATGATCTCTACAGACCTTTCTAGTCCTAAAAGGTCTATATCCTGACTCTCTCATTCCTCCACTTTGTGTCTTTAGTTTTCTCCAAAATTACTCATAGTTTATTTTCATGTTACATTGGTTGATTTAATTGTAAAAAAGAACGGTATTGTACAGTAGTGCCATAGTATTGTTGAGCTGTAATTGACATCTAATAATGTTAGTGTTGCTGGGTATGTGGCTCAAGCGGTAGCATGCTCCTCTGGCATGCGTGCGGCCCGGGTTCGATCCTCAGCACCACATACAGACAAAGATGTTGTGTCCGCCAAATACTAAAAAATAAATATTAAAAAATTTTTTTTCTCTCTCTCTCTCTCTCTCTCTCTCCTCTCTCACTCTCTCTTAAAAAAAATAATGTTAGTGTTCATAGTATACAAAGTGGTAAGTTTTCACAATAAGAAATGGTCACCGTAGTCACAATGGCAAACGTATCCGTCAGCCCCCCAAATTTCCTATGCCTTTGGCAATCCCTGATCTGTCTTCCTCTACTACAGATGAGTTTGTGTCTTCTACAAATTGAATCTTAAGTAAATACTGTTGCTTCTTATTATTACATCCTTGGACTTTACATTTCAAGACCAGGGTCCTTTTATTTCTTTTTTCCTCCTCCCAGCCCCCAGTTGATCTTTGCTCAGAGAAACCGCTTAATCATTATTTGTTGGATTGAAAAAAAAATGGCTTTGTAAAATTATAATAGCTTCAGTTTGGTGATCAAGAAGTGCCCATCGAGTTAAGTGTTTTAACTTTCTACTTCTTCCTAATTAAAAAATAAAGCATGATTTTAAACCAAGGTATCTTAATTTAGGGTCTGTGGACTTCCAGGGGTCTAGACAGTGAGCTTCTAGATGTGTGTTGAGGACAGGGGAAGCGGCTGGGGGCTGAATACCTGGGAAAGATCCTTGGCTTCTGCCAGTCTCTTAATCCCTAGATCCTAGACCCAAATGGCTGAGCTATGGAATGAATGCCACACTGTCTTCCTTTAATATCCCACATGCATTTTATAAATATGATGTCTAGTTATAAATCCTCTGCAATCTACTCCCTCCTTCTCTTCCCTCCCTGCCTCCCTGGTATTTTGTTCTCTGCCCGGTCCTGGTTATGCCTACACAGGGTTAACCTCAGGGTGTGATAAACACTCCAGGCGCTGTCTACTGCCTGGGAACGTTTGGCATTCTTCTCTTCCACATCTTCTCATCTAAGCTGTGTGGCATGTTGAGTCCTTTTATTCAAGGGCTTTCCTTCCAAGCTTAATACCAGAGTGATTTTTTTTTTATCATAAACCTCCATTTCCTGAAAATTCCAGAGTTTAGGATTTCTATTAATCTTAAACAAGATCAATACTTTCATTGTTATTTATAAGTATAATGAGAACAAGAAATATACTAAGTAACACTGCAAATTCATCATTAAGCCATCTCTACTCAATCCAGAGATGGCCCCTCTTGTACATCCCACATGCAAAAAAAAAAATTTTAAACTGATCTTAGAAAAGGTTGAAATATACAGTAGCAATTATCAGTTTCTAAATAACAAAACTACGCATCTGGCAGTTACACAAATGCTGGTTTCAAAGTGTCTTAATAGGGAGAGAGCAAAAAGAAAACACCTCACCTGCTGGCCAAAAGACCAACAGGACTCCCCCCTTGCTTCATCCAAAGTCAGCTCAACCCCAGGCATGTTTGTTGGCAGGGGGTTTGGCTCCCTGCTGGGGGTAAGCATTACATTTTTATTCTCCCTTTCACAACCACCCTTTTCCAACAGAAAAGCTATCATCATGGTAACGACAGCATTTTGGTCTAGTTTCTATGCAAGTTCATTCTCTGCATTAAAGGCAGAGAATGAAAGTTACTTACGTGCAAGTGGCCAAGGGGAGCCCTGGGTTTGGAAGCTGCGTTTGCTGATGCCTGCCTGCTTAAATAGCTTGGCTGGCTGACGCAGGCTGCTGATAGCACTTTTGTTTACGCCCTGTGAATGCACGCTCAAACAAGGACCTGAAAAACCTGCAGCGTGGGCAGGAGGGAAACAGTCTGCCCGGGGAGGGTACGTCTCTCCTGGTTATTCAGGTTTGATACCCAGGCGGTGACTTCTGAGAGTCCCATGGAACTCTCCCCTCCTCCCATCCTCCTCATCCCTGTCCTCTTACTTAGCCAAATAAGACTCTTCAAGATTGGATGGAAGATGCGGCTGCAGGAAGAAGGGGAAGAGAAATAGGACCCTGGACCCTTTCCCTTAACTTCCCTATTTGGAATGTGCTTCCTGTTAGATGTCACTTCATTTCAAAGCTTAGGACTGATGTGGCTGACTTCACAGCTCTGCAGGCGGGATGCCCAGCTCGGTGCCTGGACAATTGCCCAATTAATGAAAAGCGGTTTTCCCTCTGGACACCGCATGTACAAATAAAGGAACAATTAAAGGAGAGGGCAGCCAGTATGAAACAACTTTAGGTCCCCTTCAAACCCTGTTTTCACCCACTCTTGGTCCGGTCCGCATCTGTGCTGTCCTCCTCCTTTCCCCTGCCCTTCCTTTGCTAATGAAATTCCTATCTAAGAGTTGAAAGATTCTCCAAGGGATTGCCCATCAAAAGGCAGTGTGTGAGCAAGGCTGTAGGAAGAAGCACACCAAAGGTGAAGGAATGAGCTCAGGGTCTCCTGTGACTATCCCTGGAACTGTTTCTAAAAATGAGGGTGTGTGGGGGTGTGAGGACTCAGCTGGTCCATGTTTATCTTTTTTATTAGCTAGATACAGCAGTTAACAGTCAATTGCAGCACACTGAACACATGAAGTGGGCATGATATGGAGAAGAGGAGGGAAAGGGGCAGGCTTTGGTGAGATCATTTGTGGGGATATCTGTGTGTATTTGCAGATATGAAGCACAAACCCTTAAATGGCAACCCCAACATGCACCCCCCACTTGATTCTCTTGGGAAAGTAGCCGTATTATGAAAGAAGAGCAGCAACCATTCAGAATATTTCTTTCCCTCTTACAAAAGAGGGTAGGTTATGGTTATAATATGTGTATGGAGAAGAGCACCCTACCTGGTCACCAGGAGATTCTTCGGTTGTGTAACTGCCAACTGTTGTATAGACAGATCTGGATTCTTGCCCCCAGATTTCTTGAGAGCAGGGTCTATGTCTTGTTCATCTCTTGACACCCACAATGATTTGCATTAGTAATTATGACGATGATGATGACACTCTAGAATCTAGAAGGACAATTGTGACAGGTTCTTTGTGGAGCACTTCACAGAGAGTCTTTGCTCGCTGATTTCTCACAAGTCTGTGAATTAGTGTCTTGGTGATCAACATCTTGCCCATAAGAAACTGATACCCAGAAAGATTAAAGAACTTTCCCAAGGTCAGAGTAAATGGTGGAGGTGAAATTTGAATGCAGATCTCTTTGATTTCAGAGTCTGGGTTTATACTGAGGACTGTTTTAAGCTAAGAATGTTTCCTCTTATCCTTATTTTTCTGCTTGTTTATCACCCATCTTCCAGAACATGATTTCCAGGATCACAATGACTCTGTCTGCTCTGTCCACTCTTGTAACCCAGCATCCAGCACAGTGCTTGGCATATAGAAGATGCTCAATAAATATGTGCTATTTGCTCAGCTTCTAAATTCCTTTGGAATTTGGCAACAATAGAGTCTCATCTTGGTTCAGTCAGATACATTTCTTTTGCTCCTAAATGATGTGTTGGCTTCAAGCTATTTTTCCTTTTCCAGCATATCACTGAGATGAAACCAAGAAGCAGTTTGTATGTCACCAAGATTGTTCTCTTTTATATTGTGGACCTCAATGAAGCAGCATTGTCTCCCCTCATGGTGACATGTGATGCAGTAGATACGTGCATCACATCCTTAAGCAAAAACATCCAAAGACAAGTAGGAAAGTGCCTGGGTTTTTTTTTTTTTTTTTTTTACTTGTTAAGAGTAGAAAATCTTTTCAGAAGTCATGTGCAGACTTCCACTTACATGTCCTTGCTCTTGCTGAGAACAGGGTAAATGGCCACTACATTGACTAAGTCCATCATTTGCAAAAAGGAATGAATCAGGCTGATGATATAGTTTCTTCACTGGGCACAAGGCAAGGATTTATCTTCCTCAGACAAATAGCTCAGGATGCAGTTAATAGGGGTGATGTAGAAAAGTTCTATCAATAGTACTACCAATCCAGGAAGTCATTTAAATGATAAGCAAAACTGCTTTAGTTTAGTTCAGAGCATGGTAATTTGGTTTCACCATATCAGTTTATTTTTGTTTGTTTGTTTTTAAGAAGGAAAGCTTGCCCTGCATTTCAGAAAAATTAAAAGTATTTCAATGACTCACAAACAAGGGAAGTAACTGGCTTCAGTGACATTTTTGTTGTTGCTTTAGGTTTTCCTTATAGGTTTGGAACTTTGTCACTACTGATTTTCAGAGACCAGCACACAGTCCGTCAGGCTCTTGCTTTGGTACCACAAGGGATCGGTGATGATGTTGGTTTCTTAGAAACGTTGGTTCCAATACTGCAAATACTTATACAAAGGTAGCAACACTTTAATGCTTTAACACTCATTTGCCCTACTCCCCCTCTTGCCTATTATACTTCAGTGGAATTTCCTAATCCACGTTTGCATCTATCTCAGCCACTGCCTGGAATATGCCAACTAGAAACACCTTTCCCACAGTTCCTCTCTCTGCCGTCAACAAACTTCAAATGAACACAGGCAGATAGTTCATTCTTACCCTTCTATTTGCTGTTCTAGACTTTTTCTTGGGAATTCTAGAACAGACCTTGGGCATTCTTTTCTACATGGTCAAAGATCAAAAGAAATGGGAGAAAAGATGAGATAAGCTAGTTGTTCAGCTGCACAGGGGAGGAGCCTGTCTGGGAAATGGCAGATGCTCAACATATGCCTGGTGAGTGAGTGGGAGACTGGTGGACAGGAAAGAGTGAAGGCTTTTGAATCATGCGGATTCACTTGTGTTCACCACCTATGTGATCCAGGGCAACTTCTCTCAGCCTCAGTTTCCTTATGTGTAAAATGAGAGTCATGATATTTTTCTCAGAGATGTGTTGTAAAGATTAATGATAATATATGCAAAGCACTTAGCATTAATGCCTCAAACATAATATATGCCCAATAAAATGGTAGCTACTGCTAATGATTACAACCAAGCCCATCCCTAGTCATCTTTGTGAAATCCACAAAAAAAACTGGTAAAATCTAGCCAGGGCAGGCCTGTAATCCCAACGGCTTGGGAGGCTGAGTCAGGAAGATCACAAGTTCAAAGCCAGCCTCAGTAATGGCGAGGCCCTAAGCATTCAGTGAGACCCTGTCTCTAAATAAAATACAAAATAGGGCTGGGGATGTGACTCAGCGGTTGAGTGCCCCGGGATTTAATCCTCAGTATCAAAATAAATAAATAAAAATTAGTGAAATCTAAAACTCCTCATTGCTATAGCGAGCCAGGGCATTGGTAGAGCCACATAGAAGGCAGTGATAATTGGTTAGTAGGAGCAGCTAATCTTTTCCTACCCAAAATAGAGATTATGGTGTAGGAAGCTAATTTATAATAGGGGGGGATGTGGAACTAACAATGGTGGAAAGAGGCAGAAGCCATTCCTCGAGAGATAGAAAATTACTGACATTTCAGCAAGTTCACAGTGTACAAATCTCCCCAGGACCAAAATCTGAGCTGTAGGGAAGCAAATGAGGAAGAGGTGCGGTCAGAGGATAGGAGCATCCCTGCCCCAAATTCTGCCCCTAGGATATGAACTTGCAGACTAAAAACTCTGCTGACCTCTGGAAGTTCTGACTTAGGGCCCTTCTTGTCCTAACCTGGCTGGGACTAATGAAGTGGAGGAAGCAGAGAGGGGAGTGGCAGGTGACAGAGAAGCTGCACAAAGAAGAATTTGAATGCCAACCCACTGATAGAGACAGTTCCCTTGGCTTCTCCTGGTAGAGGAGTTCTCATGATCCCTGGTGAGCGGGGAGTGAAAGTCAAGACGTAATTGCACTAGGTATTCTTGGAAGTTGGTTGTTGACATGGTAATGATGCCGTCATCCTTTCAGTGAACTGTATACGCTTTATTCAAAGTGTGGATTCCATCATCTCATCTAACGCACTGTGTCCTCAAGGAGCCCTAGTCAGTCGATGCCTGGTGGATAGATGGGGTGGCCCATGAGCAGTGCCTGTTACAGAGGGGCGCCTGGACAGAGCTGTTCCATTTGGAGTGACCCTAATTGTGTTCACCTTTCTGCTTAAGAACCAAAGTTTCTTCAGCTTCCTCATCCAGGGTCTAATGATCGAGCAGGGTCCAGGCTCATAATGAATGAGCTCATTTCCTTGTCATCTCATTCAGGTGATTGGCTGGAGGAGGGGCAGCCCTGGATAACGGGGGACGAGACATCCCCCCCCCTTCTATGGATTGAGGGAGGGAGGAGGTCTCTTTCTTGGCCTACGAATCCTGGCTCCTCTCCTGAACACAGGGCTTCGCTGCTGCTGGCAGAAGCTGCCAAGAAGCAACAGGACATCATTCTCGAGGGGGCGGGGGCGGTGCCTCACCTAAGAGTCTGCCCCCTGGGTGAAGGACGGGAAGTGGCGGTGGGTTGGGGCCACCCACCCAATGGCAATCCCCTGTGTGGAGGAGGAGAGTCCCCACATCCCTCCTGAAATTCCAGGGATGGTCCCTGTGCTTTGAGAAAGCAGCCAGCCGGGAGCTGGGGTGGAGGACAACAGAATCCTTTGGAAAAAGGCTCCTTGGCGGGCAGCAGACCTGGCCCCTCTGCCCCCTGGCCCCTGGGGCTCCTGGTCCACACTCCTAACCTCTGTGCAGCACAGCCTTTGCAGCCACTTTCAACGCGTCTCACCGGAGCCCCAGGTGGCAGATGAAGAACAGGCTTCGCCTCCGCCACACTGGGTGCTCCTGACCCCAAGTTCCACCAGAGACGCTTGAATTCTACTCGTGGTTTTACTTGGCCACAGAGAGGACAGGGAAAGGAAGACTGAGCCGACAAAAAAAATGAAGTTGAGAGTCAAAGACAAGGTAAAATCTAAGTACATGTTGGACACAGTAGAGAAAGAAAGGGTTGAAAATGATGTGGGCTAGTCAGATGCCTCAAACCTGGAATCCCAGCAACTAGCTGGGGGCTCAGGCAGGAGGATTGCAAGTTCAAGGCTAGCCTCCACAATTTAGCAAGACCCTCAGCAACTTCAGGAGACCCAGACTCAAAATAAAAAATAAAAAGGACTGGGAATATAGCTTCACATCCTTTGGTTTAATCCCCAATACCAAACTCTTTTTTTTTTTTTTTTTAATATTTAAGTTAAATCATGGAGCAGCAGGCCAGAGAGGGGGAAGATTTTTAAAAATTTTATGTGTGTATGTACATATGTATTTATACTGGGAATTGAACCCAGGGGCCCTGTACCACCGAGCTACATCTCCAATTCCTTTTTATTTTTATTTGGAGACATGGTCTCCTTAAGTGGATGAGGTTGGCTTCAAACTTGGAATCCTCCTGCTTCTGCCTCTGGAATCTCTGGCATTAAAGGCATGCACCGCCACAGACAGAGGAGAGCTTTGACTAGAAGCCACAAGACCCTTTTCTTCCTTCCTCCTTCTTTACCCCAGAGGCACCAAGATGGAGAAGTAGATGTCACTTTGAGAAGCTCACATCTGCTCTACACCCTTCATCCCCTCCTCTGTGTTAAGGAGGAAGCAAACCTGATATGTTCTCTGAGGTCCTTTCTGTTTTAACCTCCTGTCCTCCAGGAGAAGCATGTCTGGGGCAGGTGAATGGGGAGGAGGCCCCAGAGCTGTTCAGTAAAAATCTGCCTCCTCCGTGGCCCTCTCTGAGGTTTCTGCAACCAGGCCTGGCAGGGCTGCTGGTGATGATTTATAGCTGCTTCTGGAACACCTTCTGATGTGGCATATTACATAAATAATGGTGCACACTCATGCATCTAGCTCTTAACTCTCTAGAGAGTCAGCTCCCCGACTAGACTTTCCAGTGGGTTCTGAATAACCTGTGTGAGGACCTGGTGTCCCAGTTTGACACACCTGACTTTGTCCTCTGACTCTGTCTTCTTCATGGTACTGCCAGTAGATGCCCTGATGTCCCAGAGCCCAGTCTCAGGCTGAGAACAATTGAGGGTTGTATCAGGTTTCAGAGGAGAGGCTGGGAGACAGTTTGGACATGGTTCAAACCTGTGGTGTCCACCTTTCTGGTTTTCCAGAATTGTCCTAATTTTAGAACTGCAAGTCCTGTATTCCAGAAAACCACTCAGTCCCGGGCAAACCAGGATGGTTGGCCAGCTCCTTCAGCTCTCTCATTCCCAAGTCATTAACTTCTTTGAGACTTAGTTTCATTCAATGTGAAATAAGGATAATAATAGCAATCTCATATAGTGTGTTTGAGGACCAGAGTTGATCTGCATCCAAAGATTCAGGAAAGAAGTAAAAGACTAGGTGACAAAAATTCTATCTTTCTGCCCCCGTTTGAAGGAGTAAATGTCTCCTCCCCCACAATGTGCTTTGACTTTTCCAAGTGTAGTTATGAGGGCAGCTCTTGAGGATTCCAGAACACTCTTCAGAAAGCCTCACCAGCTCTAGCTAATGCAGAGGGGTGGATTAAGCGCTCTCCCAGCCCTGTGATTATCTGATAAAGAGTAAATGACTGTTTGCAGAAGTCACTTTTAGCAGCTACCATTTGGGAGTCACAAATAAAGGGATTATGAAGCTTTTTCTTTTCAGCCTCTTTGTTGCTCCTCAGCTATTGTCTACAGAGATTCTAACCACGTTCTGAATGACTGTTTTCCAGTAACTACTGTTTCATGGCTCAATAAGGGAAAGAAGTCAATGTTTTCTAAGGAGTCCCTTGCAAGGCATTTGCAGTGCAAGGGTGGATTTCACAGGCATCTTAATTCCTGGCACTCAATGCTGGGAGCTGTCTTGGAGACCAGAAGCAGCAGGCAAGAACTCCATTAACAAAAGAGAGGCAAGGGATTATTAATGCAAATGCCCTGATAGAAGGAGGCCTAATCAAAGACACCATAGAAAACAAGCTGCAGGCAGAGAGGGAGGATTTAGAACACGAGACTGTCAAAGGGACCAGGCTTCTCTGACTGGAAGGAAATGATGGGGGAATGATCTTTCATAATTGAGCCCAGTTGAGTCAGAACTATATGCCGAGAGCTGGGATTATTCCATGTGTAAAGACCTTTACCAACCTGGCCCTCCCACCCCACCACAAATGAAGCAAAGACCATTAAATTAGTAGCAGATTCTGATTGAAAATAAGGGTCTGCCAAAGCTGGAAAATTCAACATGCAAGACTCTGGCGCCAGTGATAATGAACTTGTTCGAGTCCATGGCAGTTGGGGACACAATTTTGCATAATTAGAATACCTTTGGAAATAGAAAGAAAAAAGGGACTCTGTAATTTATGTAAATTTACTGATTTACATATTCATGAGTGTGGTTAGAGGTTTCAACTCCTAAGGTACCTCCTTGACATCTACATTCTAAATTAACCAAGGGATAGAACGTCAAAGAGAGCAACTTTGACTGCTTTTAGTGGCTCAGAGAATTACCCCCAGACTTTGGGGAATTCTACAAAAGTAGATGTTTCTAGGTTACCACCTCATTCTTTCTCCTATGCTTCCCATCCTTTCCTGAAGAAAATGAAATTCTGAAACACTTGATTTAAATGTCAAGAAATTTAATTATTAGAGTAATGCAATAAGGCATGTCCATTATCCACTTCAACATAATCAATCACCCCAAAACCCACTGGCTTAAATAAGCAAGAGTAATTTTGTTACCTTTCCTGGTTTCTGTGGATCAGGAATTCAGAGAGGGCTCTGTGGGGAAATTGGCTTGGGGTCAGGCAAAGCTGGAGCCACAATAGAAG